AGTTAATCAAATAAAGAAAATGAATTTGGTAAATAAACAAATAAATATAGTCATTTATGATAGAAGAAACTTTATCAATAGAAATTAAGATGAGAAGAAAATAACAACCGATTATATTATATATGGAATAATCAGATTTATTGATTTAATATCAATATGATATATTTTAAACGTAAATCGAATGAAGAATAGATTATCTTGGTTATTTTTAAAATTTAATTAAATAAAACAATTATTTTAAGTAAACATTCGAGGAATAAAACATTGAAAATATTTATCAATATTTCATAACTAGCGAGAACCCGTGACATACTGCATGGTTTTTTTTTTCATCGAAAGCAAGTTTTTCGTGAGAATCAGAGGATTATCAGGGATACAATAGAAATCTTCATTTCCGTCCTATCAAAACAATGTATTATCATAGTTTTCATTATATTTTCAAACAACACATTTACAAAATTTCTTTGAAAACAATGTTTTTAGTTTTATGTCTTTCACTGTTTTTTTTTCTTCTTTGATGACTTCATATCTTGACAGACGTTAGAGAGCGAACTCTTGAAAAAGCAATGTATAGTTGTCCATGGCTTAAAACTGATTGTGGTAAAAGTAGTTCTAATCGATCAAAGGTCTGTCCTTGTGATTTGTTGATTGTCATAGCAAATGAGAGTCGAATAGACAATTGATGTCTACGTAATTTAAAAGGCAAAAATGGATCAGACGGTGTTAAAGTAATTCTTGGTATTAGAACTCGGTTTCCTTTGTTAGATTCAGTTGCCCCTTCACAATCAATCGGGTGATATTGTAAACGGTGTACAATGAACCGAATTCCATTGCATAGACTTTAATTAACATCGAAATTGCGAAGAAGCATAACAATTGCACCAATCTTTAGATTAAGTTTATGAGAAGGCATTTCTGATGGTGCAATATTCTAGAATCTTTAACACTTAATCTTTGACCCTTAACCTTTCACCTGGCATAGACAGACAAGCAGACACTGAACATTATATATATAGATTAATATATAACAATTTATTTATTTTCATGTCGTTTTATTGTTGTTATTCTTAATTAAAAAGCAACTAATCAAACAAAGAATTTATTTCTTGTTTACAATTTAATTTAAAGTTAAATATGTTTTTTTGTAAAATCGACAAAAATAAATTTGAATGAATATTGTTAAATAAAATTGAATACTAAATATATATATATATATATAAGTAAAGTCATATAAAAGATAATATATATTAGATTTTATTCATCGAATACCTTGGCCTTGTCAACAATTAGCTATTTATATAAATATTGAAGATTAAGATAGAATAATCTATCATCACAATGATATAGATTATCTCTTTTATTATATTTATTAACGAAAACCTTGAAGATGATTTATTATAGATAGAAATAACCTTATTTATTCTCTTATATAAAGACGAATGAAGATAAATAAAAAGAATAAGAGTTTATCATTGATATAGAAAAAAAAATGTATTCGAATAAGTTAAATATTGCTTTGGTATTATTATTATTATTATTAATATTTTTTAAAATAACAAAGTCTGATGATAGTGATGATGATTATACTGATGATGATGATGATGATGATAATAATGAAGAATTAGAAGATTGTCGACAAGATATTGATATAAAAACATTTAAAAAAACCGGTCAACTTAAATTATGTGATTCATTAGAAAAAGCATCATTGAAATCTCGAATTAAATTAAAAATATTTACAAATCATAGTGAACAAATAATTCATATTCGAGCATTATCATTATCACCATCATCATTAAAAACTAATATTTTAAATAAATCACTTATTGAATTAACAACTGATATAATTGAAGATTTTAAATATCCAACTAGTTTATTATTTATTGATAATTTTCAATTTATTTCTTTTTCAACACTTAAATCAATATTATTATCATTAATTAATGTTGATTTTAATTTACTTGGTAAAAATTTAAAAAAAACATTATTTATTCCTAAAGGTGGACATAAACAAATTCTTAGTTGTTCAGGAAATTATTATCCGAAACAAAATATTCAATTATTAAATATAAAACCAGCTTTTACTAAAGAAATAATATGTAATAAAGAACCACAACATGATAAATTCTTTACACTTCAAGAAAAACTTTATGTTAATCGATCGGATGAAAAAAATTTTCGTTTAGTTCAAATTCATCAAGATGATCAAAATAAAATAAGTCGAACAAGTTGGTATACATGTAATAATCAAAAATCATGTAGTTTAGGTATACAAAATAAATTAATGTTAGATAAAACTGTTAATTATGTTTTGAAATTTTTACAAAAAAGTCGAGCTGAAAAAAAATCTTCATCTGGTTAAATCAATTTTATTAATAAAAACATTTTCTTTGTTAAAGATCTAAAGATCTTATTTTTAATCTATTCATATATTTATCGATTTAATATTTTATTTGATTCGTTTTTTTTTCTTTAATTATTTTCAATCATTATTATTATTATTATTACTATTTTAATAACAGTTTAGATTTAAATAAACAAATGAAATAAAATAACATTCTCATTCTTTATTTTAATTAATAAAAAAATATTTCTATGTCAAATAATATTAATCTTAGTTGTTGAATATTATATCTCAAATAATAATTAATTTAAATTAAATAAAACAATTTTCAAAATGAATTTATTTTCAATTTTAAATCATTGTTAATAATAATTGCAAATTCGATTTAAATAAACTTCTTTGTTTTCTTTCCGAATAAGTCAAATAAATATTAACAAAATATCGAATTATTCATTTCTTTCAAAAAAGAAAAAATTTTTAAGTAATGATGTATATATTCTATCAAAAGTAAATCTTATTGATTTCCTTGAAATATTTACCATGTCCCGATGTTATATTCGTTTGTTTTACAATTATTCTTTATGTTGAAATAGTTTTTAACCAATCGAACTATTTCGTGAAACATAATCTGAAAGGAGTGTTGAAGTGTATAGGGTAGAAATTTTGCACCCACTACCCCCTACAGACCGTGACAGAGAAACTGTAGTTCTAAAGCATCAGATAAACGGATAGCTTCAAATGTGTCGCAAAGAAATGGAACAAAACGATTTTCGTTTTATTAGTAAAAATGGATCCATCGTGTTTCACATTTTGAATTCCGCAAGGTATTGCGCTAACAGCTTTTTTCTTTCAAGATTATTATATATATTCCAAAAACAAAAAAAAAATCTTCAGTTCAATTGAGCGAATAAAACCTTTTATTCAATGAATAATCTATATGAATAGTATAAAACTAGCTTCGATTAAATATTAAAAAAAAAAACGTAAGACTATTTAAAGCGAGATAATATCCATCAATAAATAAGCTTTGATTTTTCTTTTCAAATCGAATAAATTTTATTTATTTTTGTTAGTTGAAATAAAAATGATAAATAAGATAAATATTATTCTATTTCTCTTAACAATATGTTCATTTGTTGATGATAAACCTTTATCTAAAAATAATGATAATGATTTAGAATTATTAAATGAAAAAGCTCAAATGTTTGTTCGTTCAATGTTAAATTATGATGATCAAGACAATAATGATGAAACATCATTTGATAAAAGAGAACGTTGAAAACAATTGTGTTCCATGTAAATTTAAAATAAATCTATGTTATGCACCTAATATTTGTGTGAAAATTTTTTTTTCGGAATGAATATATGAAAATAAAAATAGATGAATTTGGAAAGTAATACTTCTATATTGGTTTTTTTTTAAATCTCTATATTGATGATTATTATTTAATTAGATATTTTCTTTTTCTTCTTAAACTTGCTTTTATCATTCAATTTCGAATCTATTTTATTTGTTTAATGTTCTGAAAAAATTTAATTTAATTATTGATAGAAAAATTTTCAAATAATAAATATAAATTTGATCAATTATTCATCAATATTATTCATTCTTACTATATTTATAATATGTTTAATTCATCTAGAATAATTTAAATCAAATTTATTTTTATCTTAGTTTTTTGTTTTTTGTTTTTTCATCAAAACTATTTAATTGCTTGGTTTATTTCATTCAATTTAATAAATTGACAACGATATGTTCTTGTTTATAAATAAGAATAATCATTATTAATAAGAGATTTATAAAACAATTCTGAATATAATTGTTAAAAATGAAAATTATTTAATAGAAATAATTATAATTATAGATAAATATATGAAAAATATTCGATATACTTGTTCACTTATTTTATAAATAAATATGATTAAAAATAGAAAAGTCTAAGAAAAAAAAAAAAAACTTTCGAATTTGTTTTCAATGATTATTGTTTAAGTTGAACAAGTATGATATCACTTCTATAGAACTTTATTATTGTTATTAATATGAATAAATAATAAGAGAATTTATTTATTATTGTTAGTTTAACTCTTTCATTCAATAAATTAATGAAAATCAATAGATTTATTTTATCGAAAAAATATTTATCACTATTTACAGATTAAATCTTTTCGGTTTATTTTGTCAAGAAAAAACAAATATATATTTATCAGTTTTTGTTTGTTTAGCTAGATTTTTAATCTCCGATAATCAAATGAAAATAATTAAGCAGTTTATAAACTAATCTATCATCGCTTGATTAATTAACTCTTTTTTTTTTATGTTTTACATATTATCAATAAAGAGTCAAGAAGGATGTCGATCACATTGTTAAATGGCATTTTTTGTTGTTGTATAGTTTTATTGACGAAAATGTTCACTCTATATATTATATTGACAGAACATATTAATTGTTCATAATTTATAAGGCCAATATTCATTTAATATATAAATTGAGTGTTAACCATTTTAAAAATGGTTGATTAAGTTACTTGTATAGAATTTGCCTAATGTATAATTATCAAAAATAAAACATGTATAAATGAATATAAGGCTTGTTCTATCAGTAACATTTTTATGTTTGAGTAGATATATTCCATATTCTCACAGTTTAAACTCTACTGACATTCGTTATTGACATAAATTATCTGACTAAAGTTTTTCTTAGGTCATTTTATAAGAAATTCAATTGAATACTATAACTAAGACATCGAAGATACTTTATAAATAAATTTAAGTTAACTGAAATGAAAATCAACAGATTTCATTTGAATTGACTTTTCATATATTAAGATTTATTTTCAATCTTTATTTGTCAAAGGAGTAATTTTCAATTTATTTGAAATTATTATTATTATTATTATAAAATATTGTCTATTAAATTAGATAAATAATGAAAATTTGTTCGAAAATTTAATGCAACAAAGTAATATAATGAGATTTATACGAATTATTTCGATTAATAATAATAAACTATGAATGATAAAAGGAATCTTTAAACGGAAGATATTATTGATAATAGATTGATCAAATAGTGAAAATGTCTTATGGATGACGACGATTGATATCTTCTTTCGGAAAAGAATTTAATCAAAATCATATATTACATTTCGAGAGAAAAATCTTTAAACTATACGATTAAATAAACAACTTTTATTATATGTATACGAAGAACATTCTCAGAACAAAAAAAACGTCAAAATAAAACTAAATAAATGAATATTGATTAAGAAAATTTTCAAAAAACTATTCTCTCAATTAATTTTATATTTTTAAAGTATCAGGCAAATATATATGTATACATACGATCGAAATAGACACTTTGCTTTTTTCAATTTAATTAAAAGATGAAAATCTCTAGGAAGAAAATCGAAACTATAAACAAATTCGATGTTTTATTTATATAATTATGTTAAATAATTTGAATAAAATTTTAATTTGAAGATATTTAATGATGTTAATATTATCGTCAAAACTGTTTTAAATAAAAAAAAAGTGATTATCCGTATAAACGTGACAACTGTTTAATTAATATAATATATAAATATAATTATGTATTATGTTTATATAATCAATCTTCTTGACAAATATATTTTGTTCTTAATCAGTAGGATTATGTTGAAATATAATATCATTTTATTTAAGAATTATTTATTTAATAACTCTCATCGAATAAAATAAAATATATTAGTCGACGATTATTTCGACGTTTAACATATATAACTGTAAAAACAGAGTTTTGACGCAGACAATTTTACTAAATAATTGTCTAAAAGAAAATATTTTTCTCTAATCTATAAATTTATTTTCTTTTGATTTCTAACGAAATTTGTTTCTATAGAATAATAATATTCAACAATATATTATTTCAATTAAAATAAATAAAAACAAAAAAATTGTTCTACTATAAATGATAATAATAAATATTTTATATGGATTTGATGATATAATATATTAATATTTAAATCGATAATAACTTTTCATAAATAAATATATTCAATATAAAAATAAACATATATTATTGATTATTTGATAATTTTATTTTAATTTATAATTATTGATATATGAATATTGAAATTTATTTTCAATCTTATCTATTTAAATAAACCACTTTAGAGTTAAATTAAATAATTAGATTTTGATTTTCTCTATTTTTCCCAAATATTAAACAATGATAAATATATTATAGAAGTTCATATAAACACATTGAAGAAAACAAACTTTTGTCGAACTAATATTTATTCATTTTATTAATTATTGAATAAGATTGTCACGTCTATAAATTTGTTTGTTTTTTTTCATTGTTTATAATAATATTATAATTTGAATAATTTTTAGTTTTTAAAACTTATCATATTTATTATACTATTTCAATATGAATTTTTCTATTGAGATGATTTTATAGAAAAATAATCATCGAGAAATATTTATTTATTTATTTATTTATTATCATTATCAATCAATAATAAATAGAATTTATTTAAATCTAATAACTTAACTTATACAAAAAAAACACAAAAGAATTCATCATCTCTTTTATTATTTTTATCATCTTTAATAAATAAACAAATAACATTATAACGACACAACAATCATATTCAAATTAAATAAACATTTTTATTTATATATATATATGTGTGTGTGTGTTTTATTGATTGTGTTCAATTAAATAAAAGATATGTTTTGTTTCATTAATAATATAATATAGTCAATTATATAAATTATTATTCTTATCAATAAATCTGTTATCAATAATGATCAATTTGACCCTTGATAAAAGGATCACATCAGATTATTTTATTTATTCAGACTTGTCTTTACAATAATAATAAAATCGATTAACTAGTCAGTAAATAAGTTTATTTAAATAATTGTATAAAATAATCATATTGAACTAAATATATATCGAATTGGAATAAAAAGATATTTAATATAATATAATAAAGTTATCTGACGAGATTTCTTAACAAGGCCGATAGAGATAATGATTACTAAAAAATAAATATAATCGATTGTTAATCAATTGTTTATTGATATATTTAACTATTATTTATTTAATTAAATAAATTTCAAAGAATAATTTATTATTTTATGAAATATTGAACTAACAAATAATATATATAAATATACTTCGATTTATAATTAATTTCTCTCGATAATTATTTAATATTTATTTTTCGTTTTCTATTTAATCAATATTATTTATTTTAATTGTTTTTCTCGAGATTTTTCTATATCAATTAATTGAAATAAAATAAATAAAAACAATATTCTCAATAGAAAAACTAATAACAAAAAAAAAATTGATTGAATATTTAACATAAAATTAATTATTTAAATATTTAATAATTTAAATAAAATATTATTTATAAACAAGATCAAATTATTTCGAACAATATTTATATAAATATATATATAATTATCTATCTATATTTTTTTTTTAGTTTTAAATAATTTATTCAAATAAAATAAATAAAAATTAATTGAGTTTATTTATTTATTATTCAATATAGAAAAGAGAGTAAACATTTACAAATAAATGTCAATATGCTTCTTTTTTTTTCTATATTAAAATGAATAAAAAATCTTTAAGATAAATAACCAACTAAATTCTATTATAGATATAATTAGTTCATTTTGTTTATTTTAAGTAATCGATGATTTTTTGTTTTTTTGTTAATTGACTTGTTATCATATTAGTTTTTAATTATTTCTAAATAAATTTATCTTTATTGTTAAAATTGTGTATTTATGATAAATAATAAATATAATAATAATAATATATAATTAATCATATTTGATAACACATTATAAATATATGAAAATTTATTTAATTCAATTTCAATTATTTAACTTTGAATTCATTATAAATAATTAAATAAAATCTTTAACATTAACATATATATATATATATGTATTAGGAAATAAATATTCAAAAACTAGACCTATATCAAAAATCGTTTTAGTGAAGACGAATAGATCAATAATAATTATTTTTCTTTGATTAAAATTAATAAAATATTTATTTAATCAAACATATTTTAAAAGTATTATTTAATATATTAATCATATATTATATATTTTTATTTTATTCTTTATTTGAGAAAAATCATTAAATTAATTAAGTTTGTTTTTTTTGTTTTCCTATAATAGAAATAAATATAAATAAGTAAGTAAGTAAGAGCAAACTATATTTGACTCTAGTATTGTTTGACATATATACTATTCGTTTGATTTCATTTAAAATGATAATATTTACATTGAGAAAGTTCGGAAAAAAATTCGTTAAATTTCTATTGAATATTATTTAAAATGATTTCACTTCAGAGAAAAAAAAACGACTGTTTAAGTTAAGTTTGATATATTAAATTATTTATTTATAACAAAGAATTCCTTATTAACATATGTATAATAAATTCTTATAGAATATTTGTCAATCGATTTCTTCAATTATTTTTATTTAAAAACTTTTTCGAAATCGATTAGCTCCTTTTTTTTAAAAATATTTGACTATGACAACATGAGATCTTATTTATTTCATTATTACTATTGATATACTATCAAAGACACTTAAACAAAAAATATTTTGAAATAATATTAGAGACAAATATATAACAATTCTCTTATTCTAGACAAATTTTATCTAAATTCGAACGCTAAACGAACTATATTAAAAGTACTACAATGTTGTTTCAACAACACGGAATATATTTTTGAATAAAACCATAGAGAATCGCTCAGTGCTACTAGAAATAAGCTGGTGAGTATTGGGATTTTTCTTGTCGTGTTTAACATAAACTGGAATTTCTTGGAGTCAAATAGTGGAGAACATGATTATAACCGCAGTATTAAATATTATCGTAAGTAACGATTTTTCAAAGCGCCTTGTTCTTGGTTGTAACCACAGTATCTTATTCTACAGGTTTTCAGTTTAATTTGCATCGAATGTTCATTGTTGTCGTTAGAGATTTCCTTGAATACATATTGAAGTATGAGAGAACGAGTAAAAACAAAGAAGTATTCTAATAAATTTGTCACTTAAAATAAACTTTTTATGTAATTAAACTTGTAGAAGTTGACTGCACCAGTCGTTGAAGGGTAGATCAATTGACTACGTCTTGAAAATATCGCTATTTATCTCTCAATATTGAAAAGCTAAATATATAAAATCTAACATCTGTCTCCTATTAAAACTGATCAAAAGCGCGATTTTTTTTGCGAAATGTTTTTCCTTGGGTGTATACGTTTTTTTTTTGCTATTCTTTTTCTAGATTATTTATTTATTTACTGTACAATGTTTCAACTCTTTAAACAACTATATGAAATTCGTCAAATGAAAATCGATGCAGAGTGATCACTCTATATGAAATTTCGTGTTCTATTGAATATTGGATACAACATCTATGATCAATATCTAGTCTAAGAATCAAATCGATCAATGTAGATAGTTATATGGAATAATTCGAATCTATATAAAATATTCATATAGAATAGTATCAACTCAAATTAATGTATTATCATTGGTGATAGATAATCGACATATTAATGAAATACATTAATAATTAAAGTGAAAGAAATTCTATTATTTAATTCAATTAATAATAGAAGTAACGCTCGTCTATGTGACTCACTTTATCCTCTATTGAATATTTGACTGTTTCAGTATAATACACTGCTGTATCAGTGTCAATATTAATGTAGGCATCAGTCTTGTTGTATACAATGTCATGTGTGATACTTATTCCTATTAAGTTCATCCAATAAAAGTTAATAATCACATAGTAATATCGAAAGGAAATCTATATAAGTTACACTAAGACAGGAATATCCATATGTCCTGAAAAAAAATAGATTATATTCAATATGTAGAGTGAATCAATAAAGAAAGTATATTAACGACATTAGATTGAAAATTCTAATAAATATCTGTACATTTATCAGTATATGAACCGGCATATTTCATTTATCAGTGTCTCCTACAAACATGTGTGTGTTTAGCTTTACTTTTAGATTAAAATAAATCATATTTGATCAAACGGATGTTCGAAATACAACACTTGAATGACGCTTGTAATAAAATAAATCATCGAATTCGACAAATAATTCCAAAAAACTCAAATAGATTTCTACAAGTGAATACGCATAAACACGAACACATTAATGACAGAAAAGCTTATTTTATTTCGCATCAAACTTTCTTCGGATAGATTGAACTGAATTATCACACCTGTTCTTACATTTCATTAATAAATCCTTATTAGTCTTTTCTGATAATTCTGCTTCCTATTCAATTTACTAGATCTAAACTGTAAACATATTTTTGATGGATAACAACAACTGGAAGTATTCTTTGAAAGAATTTGACAATGTAGCAACAATATATCCTCCATTATTTGAACGAACTTAATTAATAGCTATTTATTCTGTTTTTACCCTAAAACAAAGTGACGTCATTTTGATATATTTATTTATATAACCTTCTTCGAGTCCTAGTTATGACAATTTCTATCAGTCAAAACTTCTGCTGAAAAACAAATGTAAACAATGAAATAATAAGTCAGAAAAAAAAGTAATGCGAGTAGGCGAAGATACCGATAATATTGAATTGAATTTAGGTATTATGTATATCAATGTAAGTATGTATCTGAATATGAATAGGTTGATCTTGTTCTGTTTCACATATACATCGTAGAACAATCTCAAATATAGTTTATTGTAGTGAGGTTGTCGAGTCTGTAATCTCGTTAACACATCTGAATAAGTTACTCTTTGAATCATGGTCAGATCACAGGTTAATTTTATTTCATACCACTCTATGTTCAATGCATTGAAAACTGATTGTTTCTCTAAAAAACAAAACTTACCTTAACGATAGAATTTTAACTGGAAACATTCGCCTATATAATTTTTTAGATAGAAAAAAAACTGAAGCTCAAAATTTTGAAAATTCGACTTCGGTGACCTCAATTACCTTTAGTGTAACATTATAAGTAACGTCTAAGTAAATTTGACCTCTGATGTTTTTTTGATCTTTAAAGATAGAAACACATCTAGTTTCATGTAATTGTTGGTAGAGTCGAGGATATAAATGAATTTTAGGTTAGATCAATATGTGTCTAGATAATAATTGATTAATAGAATAATTAGATTTAATTTTAAATATTTTTCTTTTTTTTGTTTTGTTTTTATTTTCTAGACTAAAACTAATATTATTTTATTGAAAAATTTAGAATAAATATATTAAATTCTATTCTAATAGATAATTATTCTATAATAAATGATAAATAAAATAAAATAAAATAAATATATTATATTATGGATGAGCACCCAAAGGTAAAAGGGATTTTTTAAATGTTGAATTAATAATAATAGCAGCACAACCATACCATGCTATAAATGCAGTTATTATTCCAAACCATCCTCCCAAATTTATAAATAAAGGTAAATTAGCAAGATTTCCAATAATTAAAAATAAAAAAGTTATATTAAGTATAGTAAATAAAATAAATAAAAATTTTGATGTTCGAAATGCAGCAATATTCATTATTAATGTAAATATAAACCAAGCTAATAGAAAAAGACCTGTGGCTTTTTTTACATTTACATCTAAAATTTGTTTTAATTGTGGTAATATAATATGAACATAACCAGCAAATGACATCCAAAAAGCTCCATAACTTGTAAATGCTGTTGCACCAAATATATTATTTAATTTAAATTCCCACATACCAGATAAAAATTGAGCTAAACCACCATAAAATAATGCAACTGGTAAAACAACTGGTTCTAATTTAATATTAATTAAATATGAACCAGCATTAAATACAGATAAAATAAATGTTGTTAATGCAAATGCACCAAGACCAAGTGCACCTGGATTTGCTATTCCGGTTTGAGTTTGAGTTTTATTTCCAACACGACTTAATAATTCTTGAAATTGTTCATTTGATATTATTACAGAACCAGATGAATGATGAATATCACCTGTTAAACTTTTTATTGGAATCTTAAAAAACAAAAACAATAAAACATATAATCACTTTTAAAGATAAATCTTTAAACATACCACTGTTGTTCCAGTTGATTGAGATATAAATGGTTCAGTCTCTGAAGTACTTGTTGGCACTTTTGACATTATATAATTTTCGTTATGTTTATCAAAAAAAAAATAAAATAAAATCTATGAAAATAAATATTGAGAAAAAAAAAACATAGTCATCATAGATTTCTCACTCTTCAATATTTATTCATTAAAAAAAACATAAATTTATTATGTCGAATTAAAGTACTTTGTTTTTTGGTTTTTTTTTTGATTAGAAAAAAAAGAAGAGTAAAAAAGAAAAAGCGAAGAAGAATGTAATCATATTATATCGATATATTAAAGAAAGAAAAATGAGGCTAATGACCTTGCTTGACAACGGTATAGACAAAGAAAAGAAAAAACAAAAATATGCGACAGAACATATTCTATCATCAAGGACACGAAATTAGTTATTTATCTCTTTGGAAGAATATTTTTCCTTATAATGGAACATTAAAATAGCCATGGCCTTTCATATACATCAACCTAATTATGATCGACATACACAATTATATTAGCAGTTTTATATTTATTCTATTGGTTAATATATATACATATTTATCTTCTCTTACTTTATTCATTTTGACTATTATAATAGAGTTAATTTAAAAACTTTATCATTTAATTAACAAATATTTGAAAATATCCTTAAAATTTTCGAATAAATTTATTCCATATTCGAATTTACTAAAATTAGACTCAAAAATAGATGGGAAGAAACTATAGACTGATCATCCTTATTTTCTCCTAGAAATTTATAAATAATCTTTATTCTTAAATAAATGAATATTTTCTATTATATATTCATCAGTAGGATATTCAATCAAACATTAACTTCGTCGATCGGTGTAACTTCGATACGACATATACATAGAGAGAGAGAGAGAGAGAGAATTGATCCTGTTAATCTATTTCTATAAATAATATTAAATATTTAAACGAAATAATCTCTATTAAAGGTCATTTAGAAGAAATTCTTTGGTAAATAAATGATAATTAAGTTAACTTTATCTTAATTGAGTAAAATTTTATCATTCTTATTTATTTAATAAATTATCTTGAATATAATTTATATAATAGAATTATTATTTTCAATCATTATATCAATACTAATTCAAAATAAAAAAACATTTTATTTTAAGCGAAAAGTTTTTTCTCGAAGATTTTCTATCTATTGAAAATTTTTATAGAAAAATCTTTTTTTTTTTTCAAAAATTTACGAAGTTGATTTTGGTCAACAATTAACATCCTTGAGTTATTCTATATAATACATTAAAATGCTCTTTAAAAAGTAATCTATCGATAAGATTTCGAAACTAATTAGTTTATTCAACGGAATGAGATTTTTAGAGAAAAATTTTCATATCTCATTTTAACCTTTGACCTGTTCTTATGTGTGTGCGTGTTAATGCGTTCGATGATAAATAGAAATCTTTATGGACAAAAAAAAAACAATAATTAACTCAATTAAAAGTAAATATGAAAGAAAAATAAATGAAGAAGATATTGATGAAAAACAATGTTTCAATTTTAAAAAATCGATCAATAGATCTTACTGATGATCAGTTATATATTAATAATCAATGAATAAATATCTCTCTTATTTCTATAGAGAACTTCAATATATAAACCAAAAATAGTTGATCATATATTATCGTCATTAGAAATACTCAATATGGTAAATTTGTAAGTACGTTTAGTAGTTTGCATTTAATCAGGATGATTGGTATTAAAAAGAAGATTTTTTTTTAATAGAAATCTTAAATAAAGTACTTTAAACTATCTAACAAAAGCAACAATTGAAGAAAAACAAAAGAAAATTTTTATGACGATGATCAATTCGATAATAGGAAATCTAAACAAGATAAAGACAAACACCTATTTAATAATCACCGTAGAAATGAACTAACTAAGATTAAGATAGTTTCATTAAATCGTAAGTACCTTACGTAATTTACTTTTGCTTCGGGTAGTTTATGTTAAAAATATTGATTAGAATTTGATTGATTTTGTTTTGGAAAGGTCAAAGTCAATTGGAAAGAAGAATCAATACGGAATAAATCTAAAAAAAGACAATAGATGGCATTGGAAGACAAAATGCTTCGACGAAAAGCTTTAACGATAAAAAACAAACAAACGTAATTTTACTCGTCTTCTATATTATTGTCATAGGAGACAATACATTACATATATATATATATGTATGTTAGTAGTCTGTTATGATCAGAATGAAGTATAAAATGAAGGACATAAGCGTTTGTCTTATAGGAAATAAATAAATTAAATTTAAAATAGATTTTTATTCCCTCGACTGTAGGAAGGGTCATATGAAAAAAAATAGTTTGTGTGTGTGTGTCTGCATCGGGATCAAAAAAACATCGGGGTCAAAAAACTTCCAATTTAGAAAAATTTTCATAAAGGTTGACGAAAAGAAATCAAGGTCGGAGAATCCGAATCTGAGGTTAGTTTCTCAAAATTTTGAATTGAATTTTTTTGGGTTCTGGAGAAAAGGGTTTTTCTGAGAAAATAAATTTTTCTCAAGTGTAGGAACGATTATATGAAATAAAATAAGCTTTTGTCATAGTGGAAGGTGAAACATCATAAAAAACGTTGGCTAAGTATTTGATTATCGTGCTTTTAATATTGAATTTTCAACCAATTCAATTTTTCAGAATGAAAATTGAGTCAATCCGACATATGTGATAAGTTCTCCCTTAATCAGCTATTTCATAAGTGGATGTCCATGTCCATGGATTAGACTTGTATACTTCTGTCTGATACAGTCGAGGGTCAAGTAAGTCTAACCGAGGAACGTTACTTGTTTTTTCATATTTCTAATAATGCTTGTTTGGTAATAATAAATTTTTATTTTGGTTGATTGTTTGATAATAATGTTCTTTATTTAATATATAGATAAAAGATAAATAAATATTCTATTAATTATTGATATAGGAATGATATTTTATGTTGGAAATGATCAAAGAACTATTCTCTTTAAGGTTAGTTCAGTTCTATTTATTATTTTCATATTTGAATTGATATTATTGTTTAATTAATGATTATTGACGAAATCATATATATATATATATATTGATTTCGTTGATTATCTTCAATTGAAATAAATTAAATTAAACTGTTGAAAAACTAATATGTATTTATAGAAAATATTTATTGTTATTAACGATAAAAACATTTTTTTTTGTTTTTACAATCGATATTATAGTCGAATGTAATATTAATTTGAGCTATATATATTCAATTAATAATGAAAATGTATTCAACAAAATAAATTAATTTAATATATTGAATATTATTTAACTTAATTGAATTTTTATGAATTTATTTGATGATGAGAACAACAAAAACAAACAGAAGAGAATATTTAAAAAAACAAAATAATTTCAATTTGTAAAAACATCTGAATATGTTAAAGGAAAAATCTTATTTTATTTTTCATTATATTAAAAATATTTTCAAATATGATAGAAATAAGAGGAAAATATATTTTCCTATGTATATATTATTCTTAATTAAAATCATATTTATTTCAATGTGATTAAACAAAATTAATATTAAAATATAATTATTGATTTATTTCAATAATTTATTCAATTATATTTATAATGAATATAATATCTATATATATAAAGTGTTATATAATAATATTAATCTGTAAAATATGTTATAATAAATAAGTAAATAAATATGATTATATTTATAATAGATGTATTATTTGATGTTTTTTTATTTTTTTAAAAAAATACTTATTTTTAATTTGAATTAATTGTTGAAAAAATGTTAAACATAAATCAATCTGATTTATTTTAAAAAAAATAGTTGAAAATGATATAATATTATTGATAAATATGTTTATTATAATAATATATTTGCTTGAATAAATAAATTAAAAAACACAAAACAAGTGAAACAATTGATTTTATTCAATTTAATTAAAATATTCTTTATCATAGTTAAATTGTTAATGAAAATTAATTTAAAATAAAATTGAATAATTAGTATTTTAAATAAATTATTTTTTTTAAATAGGAAAGAGATTTTTTTTTATAAATGAATTTAATAAAATAATATTTCTAAATAAATATGTTAAAGTAAATATAAAAATAAAAAATAATAT